GCCAGGTTGGTGGAAACGCTGAGTCATTGATCAACCGACGCAGCACGTTGCATGCACGTTGCGATGCAGCTTGCAACCCGCGCGAGCCCGTGCCTCCCAACCTTCCAAAGCACCCGCCCTAAGCAGCGTGACCATCAGGTGCATACCAATATGTTTTGGAGAGATTTTTGCACTTCCTGTTTCTGATTGTTCCCTCTTGGCTTGGATGTATTCTTTTTGCATCCCTTGCCCCATTTTAGGGCAGTCTGTTGGCTACAGGCATCAGGCGCAGACCAACATGTTTTGGAGAGATTGTGCATTCCATGTTTCTCTCTCGTGTCTCTACCCCTTTGAGACCTTACATAACATCTCAAGAAAGCTCACTGTAACGACTCACTGTAGATAGAGTCATTTGAGCACATGAGACGGAGGATGCGCGTGCGACTTTGTGGCGCTGCCATGTAGATAGAGTATTTTCAGCGCATGAGACCTTTGTGACACACATAGCACTATAGCACTTTGGAATACGCTTTGTGAAGTACTCCACTTTTTGGAATGCAAGGTGGACACCCACATGTCGCCATAGCACTTTAAAGCTTTGCAATACTCTAATACTTGTTGAGAAGTATTCCACCTTTTGGAATGCAATGTGGAAAGCCACACGTCACCATAGGAATAGCGCTTTCACTCTTTGTCAAGTACTCCACTTTTTTGGAACACAACGTTTGAAAGCAGTGTTGCTGAGAGCATGGACAGAAACAAGAAACAATTGAAAACTGCGTTTGGCTGAGAGCATGGATGAACAAATGTTTCTTGTTTGTATGCTCTCAGCGACGCACCCAGAACAGTAATATCCTTTATGACAGGAAAATCAGCCAGTTTGACTGAAGAAGGGCGTTCTTTGGAGGTTTGGGTGCAAACCTGGAAAAACAGAACGTTCTCATGCACGAACAAGTGGTAGCAAACTTTTCTGGGTAATCCACATGGCCCCAGATTCATGTTCCCTTTTGCACCGCGGAACCTTTTGTAGCAAGTTCTTCGTAACCAAGGGATAAAACCATGATAAACTATGATAAAGCCAGGCTGGACACCAACGGGTAAAACTATGATATGCATACGCCTAGAGTCTGTCACATTCTGCCACTATAAAACGGTAATCCTTAGTTTCCAATGACCTTTTTATAAAGCACAAAGTGGGTATGTCAAAAGTCCAGGGTTGGAAGCACATGTTGTAAAGATATGCGAGGTTTGTGCCTGGCGACGTGGAACATGTCACTTAGCTAAGATTGGAACCCGGGACAATCAGTTTATAAACGGAGCGGCCGTAACAAAGGAGACCGTCAACAAACAACAGGAACACTTGTATAACATGCTTGTTTGCTTGGGCCTTTGCCAGTTTCAGCCATGGATCCAGCAAAAAACATTCTATAGATACTATAGAGGCAACCCCTAACTAGCCCAGCAGATTCAGCTATTTGAATCTCAATTTCGCTGGGGCTGCCAAACAACAGACCTCTGGGGTGCGGCGATCTTGGAAGTGAAGCGAACCCAGAATTCTTGCCCGAGGCCAATCTTGGAAGGGCAATTAAGTACCAGGTGGCACCTGAAACATGAACAGAAATGCCTACCATTTCACTCGAGATTTCAACCCCAGCTCAGACTTTTCTTGCTTCTCCGGTGCTTTGACCTGGGCACACCTAACCCAGGCCACCCCCCGAAACGACGCGCGCGCGCGCAAACGCCCGCCCACGCTCCCTGCGGAGCGGAGGCTGAAGGCGGAGCTGGCAAGGCTGGATGCGAAGGAGAGGCGTAGCTGTGGGCTGCGCCGTCGTGGTGGGCGCTGTTGAGTGGTCGTGTGATCGGTCGTGTGTGTGATCAGGTGGTAGTCTTGGTATAGATCAAAGGGACAACCATTTGTTTGAAATGAAGACCAGAAGACGCACACAACCACTTGCCGGTTTCCCATTGTTGGCAATTCTTCAGTTGCACAATTCTCTCTCCACCTTGAGGACCCTCCTCCATCCACTGAGCCTGCCTTGGAACAGCTGGTCGGGTGGCCGTGATCGCTTTCGAATCGTCGGCAGTTCGGCCGGGCCCTTTGGGTGATGTTGATGTTCTCAACCTGTTTCTTTTATTTTCATCCCTTCGGACTATGTTTTGATCCTTTTCCGCTTCCTTAAGCCCTAAGCAAATTCAAGACTGGAAGTTCACGAAAGGCGGGCACCACAAAAGAGCCACCCCCTTGTGAGTGGTCTGAAAGGCGAGTACCACACCTTAGGGCCTATAGGGCAACAAGAACGGAACACCCTGAGGGTCCATGTGCTAAAACGACTCAACAGAAGCGGCCGAAACTCACACAGACATGGGTCAAACATCCGTAAGAATGTCTGTAGAGCTTTAAGCCAAATCATATGGAATCGCGAGGGTCGTCCTTTTGCTTGTGAGAGAACACCTAGACAGAGGCATAATCAAGGAGAATGGACCAAAAGTCAGGTGGATGCGTGCTAGTGGAATCTGTGGCACTGCGAAGGGATCACTTTTCTGATTTGTTCTGTATCGGTTTGGATGTTTTGTTGTGATTCATGTGAATGTTCACTGAAACCAAGTCACAATTCATATGAAATCACTGCAACAGAGGCGAAAGAGGGCCTAGCGGTTTCCATTTCTTTCCAGTGCTCTCACTCTGCCACCCCAACCTTGTGATTCGTGATGTTTCTATTTTCATGGTTTCCAAATAGATCCCCAAATGCCACAACGCAAAGCTTCTTGCACCAATTCTTAGAACATGAATGACAATGATATCACCTTTAGCTCAAGTTTCGCTTCTCCATCTTTGGGGTTGACCGACTTCATCACTGACCCGCCCATCCCCCCGCCGGATCTGCCCCAGCGTGACGTTTGGCCCAGACCTCGCGCCTGGCGGAGCTGCAGTGGCGGCTGCAGCGCCTGCCCAGGCCGGGTGTTCGCACCGGGTGACGGCGGATTCCGGTGGATTCCCTGCGGAGTTCGTTGGACCTTTGGGGGTCCGAACCCAGTTTTGGTTTGGTCTTCGTTGTCTTGGAGTCCGGTCTTCACATTTGGGTCACAAAGCGAGCAAGTGAAAGAACAAAGGGAGTAAACACATAGCTTCGGATCCTGACTGGCGAACCTGTATACTATGTAACGTCTTGGTTCCTTTTTTTGAGATGTTGAACTGTAACGCGCTCCTTGTTGGAGCTTGAAGGTGTCGACTGTCGAGCGTTGCCAGAGCGTCCAAGTTCGATTTGCTGTTGCTGCCTGCTATAGAAGAGGATGAGGAGGGTCTACTATGGGCGGCGCAGTCTTTGGGTAGGGACTGCTGGAATCCAAAGCTCAAGACAAAGACTGCACCAAAGTCTTTGGGGGACACATGTATACAGGACTCAAGTCTTTCAGTGGTGCAGTCTATGAGTATGCCTTTGTGGGACTGCTGGAAGTTCATGAAAGCTCAAGACGCATCAAGAATCCAAAGCAAATGACCAGAACTGCGGGCGTGTCTGGCATGATGTGTTGGTAAAGCTTTTTGAAGAATTGCGGTGCCCCGTCAAGAAGCAGATACAAACTTTTATCCACATTGTAAACACATATGAAACAACGGACTTGGGTCCTTTTTGGCACCTTTCCAAACAACGGACTGCTGCGAGGCCTCCCGCGCCGCCGCCGGGCCGCGCGCGCCAGGCAGCCGCTGCCGCCGGGGCAGCCGCGGCGGCGCGGGCGACGCGGGCG